CAATTTACCAAGGCCTGTGGTGGTGGATTCTCCATCATTGACAAATTTTAAATTAAGATTGGATGGTTTCAAAAAGATCTGCTCTAGGAACCATTTTGGGAAAGTCCTCTGGCCTGTGTTATACAGGAGGCCATACTAGATGATCACAATGGTCCCGGCTTGCCTTGGAACCTATGATTAAGACAATAGGCTAAATTTTCCCAATTACAATTCTTTAACCTCGCCCAGTTATGGTTGTGTTAGTGTCACATGCACAAAAGTTACAGATGCAAAGGCTTGTTTTGGTTATTGTTTAAAAAATTAATCTTTGTAAATATATACCGTTGATTTCACTTAAATGATTAATGAGGTTGGCAAGGCAGATGCCAAATGTCTAAAGTTTCTAGCAGTCAGCACTGGGAGTTACACAGGCATAACGGATGCAGGATTTGCTGTTATGTTCATTGTTTTATTCATTTGTATTTATTATTCATGTCATTATACAAAGGGTACTGCTCTAGTCTTTAGCTGTGTTGTTACATATTAAAGGGACGCCACCAACTTGAAATTTAATCCATTTTAAAACGTGAGTTAAATGCAATTTCATAGGCCACATGTCCCCCTCAACCGCCTGCCAATTTTTGTGGTTTTAGAATCACATTCCTCTTTTTAAAGAATGGTTTTCTCTCCCCTCTTGCTGTGTAGAAGAACCACACAAACAATGGAGGAATCTTTGGTCTTGAGCCTACAAGCACTCATGTACTTAGGCCTTGTCAACACTAGAAAGCTGTACTATTTTAACTTTACCAGCACAGTTAAAGTGATAGGAATCCCCTGGTGTGGATGCAGTTACATCAGTATAAACTTGCTTTATACCGGCATTCTAGTCCCATATGGAAAAGGGAATAACCATACGGGCATAAGGTGCCTTTATACCAGAATAAATGCCTCTACACTAGGGCTTGTATGATTTTGCTACCAATAAATAAATAAATAAATAAAATCATAGCCCTAGCCAACATAATTATATCTTTCAAGTGTAAACCAGGCCTTACTTCATTTACATTCCCGTCAATGGGATGGGACCACTCACCTGGTTCATGTTACGCACGCGTGTAAGAGTTTGCAGGATCGAGACGTAACGGAATATAGAGGGGAAACAGGGAAGGTGACTATGCACAAAACACAGTCAAATGTGCAATAAAAAATTGAAAAAAAAAAATAGAATTTCCCCGCTCTCCAATCTCACAGTTATAGTCAGCGCAGATGTTGTTTCTACTAGAGCTAGTTCCAAAAAAAGGGGAGAAAAATCACAACCATTTTCCCAGAATGTTTCCTTTTTTCTAAATTCAAAATTTTGAACAATTAAAAAAATAATTGACCAGCTTTATAGCCAGTTGAAAAACAAAGGGTAGGTGGAATGTTGCAAAAAATTCATCAGCAATGTCCCTGTTTATTTTTTTATTATTTTGAAATTTCATCAAAATTAAAACCAAAACATGTGACTAGCTCTGATATCAATCAATTTCAGACCGAGATGTGGGGGTGAAATGCTAGTCCCATTGAAGGCAATGTGAGTTTTCCCTTTGAGCCCAGGTTTTTTAGGTTGATGGTGCCTAACATCACATTTCTCTCTGGAAATCTTTTCCGCGCTGCTGTATTGTTGTGGGTAGGATTATTATAAATAATGAAAGAGATTAGAGAAGAATGTTATATTCAGTTGTTCACTTTGTGCGCTTGGCAGAAGTTTGGCATTGTCTGCTATCTTTTCCCTAAAGTTACCCACCTTTGCTACTGCAAATTTAGCTCCACTGTAGATAGCAGCTGTGGGAAAACTAGTTAAGAGCAGGCATTGGCAGCTCCAAGTGTTTTAAACTGGGTAGATCTGCTCTGAGCAGGATTAGATGGCAAAGTTTTTAAAACATTAGCAAACTTTTTGGAGCCCAATCTACGCGAGGGCAGTGCTTTCTCTTCTCTTCTCATACCGCCCTCATCACTAGTGCTTAATTTGTGCCAGGGCTGAGCCTGGCACCTCTGGGCTTGCTGCATCAGTTATGAAAGTACACCTCTACCCCGATATAACAAAACCCAATATAACATGAATTCAGATATAACGCGGTAAAGCAGTGGTCTGGGGGGAGGGGGGCTGCGTGCTCCGGTGGATCAAAGCAAGTTCAATATAACGCGGTTTCACCTATAACACGGTAAGATTTTTTGGCTCCCGAGGACAGCATTATATCGGGATAGAGGTGTAATACAATTGCTTGAGCCTGGCACTTAATTGCTTAAGCCCCAGCACCTCTTTCATAGCAAATTAAGCTTTGTTCATCACCATTGTATCTGAATGCCTTCCAGCTGGGCGTGAAGCGCCATGACTAACATCTGTCATGTGTGGTTCATTCTATTCAAGCGTACACTGACTGCTCTGTGATCATACCAGGGGAGGCAGGTTGAAGAAGTGAGACTTGCACTAGGAGCGGATGGTGAGGAGGTCTGTGATGGTCCGTAACTGCTGGGGGCATTCCTTCCAGGGTCTCAGACCAGCCCCCAAGAAAGATCTGTCTCCTGCACAGCTGAGCTTTACCTTAGTGGTAGAGAGTTCCCTGGTGTCAGAGGAGTGGAGCTGTCTTCATCCTGGAGCTTTAGGCTCTTTTAGATATGATGGGCCCAAGCCACTGAGCACCTGGAAGATAAAGTACCTAGACTGTGAGTTCTTTGGAGGCGGGGACTGTCTTTTTGTTCTGTTTGTACAGCACATAGTACAATGAGGTCCTGGGCCATGAGGCTCTGACATCCTACAGTAATACACATAATCAAAAATTAATCACTAAGACCTTGAGCTTGACTCACTCTTCTCTGGGAAGCCAGTGTAGAGAGCAGAGGACAGGTTTGATGTGCTTGCAATAGGCAGTGCTGCTGAAGAGATGGGCGGCAGCGATTGGTACTATCTGGAGTTTCCAAAGTGCTGAAGGCTTCATGCCTGGGTATATTGCACTGCTTAGCCAGTTTTAGCAATGGTGGGAAATCTGATAGTCAGTTTCACCATTCCCCCTCTATTGTTAGTTTTCATTTCCCTACTGTCTTCCACACAGCCCCAAGGAGAGAACAAACGCTTAACAATAGAACATCTGGTTGTTAAACCACCAATGTTGGAGACTTGGAAGCAGGTGAACCTTCTGAAACTACTGTGAACTAATTTTTAAAAACTGATCGGACTTCGAGGTGGCAGTATCCCTTTACACTCCCCCCTCCTCCCCGCCCATATAAAGAAATGTTCAAACATAACATTGCTAGTAACTTCCTTTTGTGATTCTTTGTTTGTGATTTAAATCGTTTGCCGGAAGAGGATAATGGCCACCAGATCTGATCCATGTGGAACAGAGGAATGTTTAGGGGTAACAGTTTCAAATGCTCCTAAGTGACATAGAAGCTAAGCCCCATTTTCAAAAGTGACTTAGGCTGGGTCTATACTACCCGCCTGAATCGGCGGTAGAAATCGACCTCTCGAGGATCGATTTATCGCGTCCCGTCGAGATGCGACAATCGATCCCCGAATCGACGCTCTTACTCCACCAGCGGAGGTGGGAGTAAGCGCCGTCGACGGGAAGCCGCAGAGGTCGATTTTGCCACCGTCCCTACAGCGGGGTAAGTCGGCTGCGATACATCGAATTCAGCTACGCTATTCGCGTATCTGAATTTGCGTATCTTAAATCGACCCCCCCCCTGTAGTGAAGATGTAGCCTTAGGCTCAGGTCCTCAGAGGTATTTAGGCTCCTAACTTCCACAGATTCCAAGGCCAGAAGGGACCACTGTGATCATCTACTCTGACCTCCTGCATAATTCGGTGCCAACTGGCTTAGGTGTCTCTGAAAATCCCACTAGGTGCCTATTTTAAGGTGCCTACATACTTTTAAAAATCTAGCCCTAATAGCCAATGGCCCAGTCCTCAAAAGTGTTTAGATGTCTCACTTCTTGAAATTGATGGCAGTTAGATTCCATAAATACCTTTGAGGATCTGGGCATAAGTCACTTTTGAAAATGGGTTTTAGGCTCCTTAGTCATGGAGGTGCTTTTGAAAATGTTACCCTGGTTCTAAGATGAGGAACGGCTCCCTGGTAAGGATGTAATGAGGGACAGTCGACTTTGAGAGGTATGCTGCTTAGTTAAGAAATCAGGGAATATCTATCTGGATGTCTGTAGTTTGAATACATGCACTACAAAACACAGTTGCATACCAAAAATATCCCTTGCTTAAGAGTATTCTTTTAACAGCTGATTACTAAAATAGGGTTAGCATCCCAAGCTCTAGAGGAAATAAGGGCCCGCTCCAGTTTCCATTGAAGGGAATGGGAATCTGTCCATTGATTTGAGTGGGAGTTGGATCAGTCCCGAAATGCTTTACAGAGCTTTTGTAAAGATTAGTTAACAGCTTATTATGGCATTCTACCCTTGGCATGGCTGGGGCTGACTTATTTCACCCATATGATTCTTTCACACCATGTTGAGCCAAACTCTGCATTGCCCTGCCCGACTCTGCTGATTGCAAAGCGGTTGCAAGCGTGTAAGGCAGCTGGCAATATTCCTTTTGAGAGGTGAACTGCAATGATCTGGAGATGGGCTGATGGGCAGAAACTTCCCACGTTGGGCGTGCACTCTGCCAGTCTCCTGCCCTGCTTCAGTGAAACTGCCACCGCATTTATTGTTATGGTTGCAAACATTATTTTTATACCCCTCAACCAGAAACCAACCTGGAGCTGCACTTCTGGGGGTGTGTGTGCAGGTGATCTAGCAAATTAGGAGAGGGTGAGAGAAAAGCAGAGACGCTGGAAACGTTTGCACTGGAGATCATAATCCAGAATCAAAAGCCTGTGCTCTCAGCTCTGAGGCACTGCTCGGTTGCCCCCTCTGGAGAGTGCGGGGGTGGGGGTCAGATCTTTGCATTTGCAAAGTGTAATTGGGGCGCGGGGGGGGGGGGGGAAGTGAAAGCAACCGCCAACATTGCAAAGCAGGTGGATAGCAGCGCGTGAGCGAGCGCTGGGGAGAGGATGCACAGGAGGAGAAAGGCAGCAGCGCTGGCAGCCGGCTCGGAGGCACAGCTGCTTCTGTGAAATCCACCGCACTCCTCCCTGTGCATGCAGCCTGCGAACAAAGGAACCCAGCGGCGGGGGGTGCATCCGAGCCGGAGCCTTGCCCTGCAAGCTGCATCTCAGCCCCCCTGAGCAGGGCTCTTCCCCCCGCCCCCTCTCAGCGCTGGGAAGGAAGGGAAGGCGGATCGGGCTCAAGATGGCTTTAGCCCGGCTCTGCGCCCTGCTTGCCTGCTGCTGCTGGCTCCCGGCTGCCGCTGCCGGGGCCGCGGAGGCGGACGAGGACCCGTCCAAGGAGCTGGAGTGCAAGCTCAAGAGCATCACGGTGTCGGCGCTGCCCTTCCTGCGGGAGAACGACCTGAGCATCATGCACAGCCCCTCGGCCTCGGAGCCCAAGCTGCTCTTCTCGGTGCGCAACGACTTCCCCGGGGAGATGGTGGTGGTGGATGATCTGGAGAACACCGAGCTGCCCTACTTTGTGCTGGGTGAGTACTGGGGCTGCCAGCGTCCCCCCCCCCATAGCGACAGGCAGGGCCCCTCCTGCATGCAGCAGCCACGCACCCTGCACCCCCCAGATAGTGACAGGCAGGGCCCCTGCTGCACGCAGCAGCCATGCACCCCCACATGGCCACATGCACAGCCCCTCCTGCAGCCATGCACCTGGTCTGGACAGCAGGCAGCACCCCCAAATAGCCACATGGGTAGCACCCATGCATCCTGTGCCTCCAGAGGGCCACATGCACAGCCTTTCCTGCACAAAGCAGTCATGCACCCCTAGCCAGCAGGCTACACCCCCACAGCCACGTGCACATCATCTTGTATCCAGCAGCCATGCATCCTGCAGCCCCACATGGACATCCCTTCTGGCATGCAGCCATGCACCCAGCCTGCACCCCCAAATGGCCACATCCATGTGACCTCTTGCATGTGTCATTCATATTAATTCAGCCAAAAGCTTCACCCACACTGCTACTCCTCCACATTCTACCATGCAGGCCATTGTGCCCTTTGAATAACACTCCTCTTCCTCCAGGTAGCTACATTCAGGTTAGAGTGGTTTCTATTATATATTCAACTAACCAGATTCATTCCTTTTGTAACATGGTGGAAAAGTATCCACAGGCACCTCATTTCCCATCAAGGCTTTTGTCTCTGTGTTCTCTTTGCACCCAAATACTGTGTATGCACATGAGCAGCCCTCATGCAAGACTCCCATATCCATCCACACGGTTGCATGCTCTCTATTCCATATCCGTGCTCTGGCCAAAGAGTTCTATGCACTTTACCTACTACAAGCGGAATTAATCTGTCAATATCTATTGATTTCCAAGGGCCTAATGCTGGTCTTATTTATACACTGGTGTATAACCTGTATCTCCATTGACTCCAATAGATTTACTCCTGATTTATGCTGGTGGGAGATATGACTTAGGCCTTGGCTTTGTATATCCTATATGTGCTTCCTGCCATGCTAATGCAACCACTTACACTTTGCTTCCTGCATGCCAGGCCGAATTTGCCTGTCCATGTAATCTGTTTCATTCGCTTTATGAAACCCCTCCAGAATGCCCCACTCCCATCACCTCCTGCATGTAAAACTCACCCACCCAGTACAACTATGGTATCATCTTTATTACAGGCATCAGATTCCAGACATCTACATGTCCCTTGCCTCCTGCCTGCAAAACTCACCCATCCATCAAAACTTCAGCATCAGCTTTGTCACATGCTCCCACTTGCACCTTGCCTCCTGCATGCAAAATACACCCAGCCTGCAAAACAGCGGCATCATCTTTCTGACGCCGGCGTCCAAGCAGCCACCCACAGCTCCCTTCCTTATGCCAAGTTCACTTGTCCAATGATGCTACAGCATGGTGTGTATCACCCCTCCCCCATGTATCTATCACCTTCCAAAACAGAGGTGCATGGACATACATTTTTGCATATGTTTTGTCTGCCACTCCAGAGTTCTCTATCCTCTTTAATAGCCTTCCTCAGTCCAGAAAAAATATGGCCACACACATGCTGCATGCAGGATTAGTATATTGATCCAGCTTGGCTGTGTCCTTCTCATTACAGTCTTTCTCTCCACCCCTAGGAGATCCATTTCTTGCATGCAGAACTCCTCCATCCAGCCTAGCTGCTGAAGCCATGTAGGGGGAAGGAAATGGGTGGGAGGGGTTGGTGGGCAGAAGAATACATTCCTGTAGATTTGACATTGGTTGCAGCGTTCTTTGATGATGGAGATGGGATGAATGTGAGTGGCAATCCCTAATCCTTGAGGTCTGGGGAGATGCCTGTTATGTGGGGATACAGTGCGGCCCCACAGCACTCATTAGTGGAGTACTGGCCCATCTGGTGCTGAAATGGAAGCGCCGGGGTAATTCCTGCTTTGTATAATGTTTCTGAATACAGTGTTAGGCCGCCGAGGTTTCTCAATGGTGCCTTTGTAAAGATGTGTTACTATGCAGGTGATGCATTTGGAGCTATGGAATGTGTGTGCCAGGGGCTGGGGGAGGCTGGATCTGTGTCATGCACATGGTGAGCATGCCCAGTGCATTGTGCTGGAAATGCTGTATGCACAGTGCTTCAAAGGAAGCCTGGGAGAGCGGGATGTCAAATGTCAATGTGGCCACCCCGCCCCCGTTTCAACACCCAAAAGCCTTTCCTATAGGCTGGCATCTACCACGCAGTATCTTGTGTGCACGGCCCAAGCACAGAAACCAGCAGCTGTGCACTGGGCACCTCTGTGCAATGCTGCTGCCGGCTGCAGAAAGGCCTAATGGGGTTGCCATGGCAACTTGCAGCAGCAGCCACCGCCTGTGCTAGCTGGGCGAGCAATCACATGGTGCCAAGTCCACCCTTGGTGTAACTCAGTGGGGTTACACCAGGGGAAACTGCTATGGGCAGTTGTTGTCAGCACCTTATGGCTTCTCCGGCTTCCCGTTCGCACATACTGACACGCAGGTTCATCGGGATCTGCCATTCTCTATCCTGGGAGGGTGTGTGTGTGTGTCCAGCGGAATCTTGAAATCGACCGTAGTCCTGCAGGGTGTTTAGTGCATATGCCAAACCTCTGCAGGGGCTCTGGAACAATTTATGTAGTGTGGGTGCTGAGAGCCACTGAACCAAACTAAAAAGAAGAACAGGAGGACTTGTGGCACCTTAGAGACTAACAAATTTATTAGAGCATAAGCCCACTTCTGTAGTCCACGAAAGCT